AATAGGTATCGCGGCTGAATACAAACGATGTGTATGGACGCAGAATCGACACCTCGACTGGATATATGCAACGTTTGAAAGCAGAATCGACACCGCAGCTGGTTTTCAATTCCAACTCTCCTTTGCTTTTCGCCAACTTTTAACATCAATTTTAGCAAGTAATTATAATTCAAACTATATCGTGTTTGGTACCACTTTAATCACAAAAATCTCACCAATGCGCTAGTACAAGTTTCATTAAAAAAAAGTCAAAAATAAAAAAGTTTTTTGATTCAATTAGTATTAGTCACACCGATACGTTTCGGCTCTTTCCTTTGATCATCGGACCTCTCTCTTTCCCCACTCTCTGTCTCATTCTACGTTCAGGCTTGGCTGGCGTCGCGTGAAACCCGAGATTCGACACCTCGCTTGGATAAATGCAACCACTGAGTCCCAATCTCGGTTGCACTTATCCAGGTTTTACTGTATTACTATATCTACATTGAATGTAATGTAATATACTGATCCATTCCCACAGATCAAAAGCTTTCACTGTACTCATAGTTCTTCACGAATATCTTGTAAACTAATCAAGTCCGACATATAGCTTACATTAGACGAAAAAAGTTGCTTAAAATTGCGAATTTTACAAAATATTTAAAAATCATCGAAATCATGGGGGGAGTAGGTTTGGTAATTATTTAGATTACGGTCGGTACCTCCGATTTCGATGATTTTTAAATATGTTGTAGAAATCAACATTTTGAACAACTTTTTCCTGTATATACAACCGCTGCTCGGCCTTAGTTTTTAAGATATTTTCGAAAAACTGTCGAAACTAACATTGAATTCTACCTGTCGTATGTGTCCGCGTTACACCTTAGGTGTTAGTGTGCGATCGCCGGTTTTCTACTGTTTTTGTAGGCAGCAGCACGACGACCGATACCAATATATAGGGTGGCCCACATAACACTTAACATCTCAATATCTCGAAAATTATGACATCGATTTTAAAGTTCTTGGTCTTAAATTGCATGGATCTGAAGGGCCTTTCTAACTACATAAACATGAAGTGGCCCCCCCTTCTTCTTTAATGGGGGGCGGAGGTACCTTTATAATTTTAAATGGAACCTTCTATAAAACGTTACATATTTAGATTCTACAGGAAAAAACAAGTAAAGGGTATAGCCGGATAAGATGGTCAAAAGTGCCCCCAAACCAAATTCGACTTGCAATGGCTCATTCGATAGCTTATCAAAAAAAACTAGTCTGTGCCAAGTTTCAACCCTGTATCTCATCTGGGAGGGTAGTTACGGGTAAAAATGTAATTGCGAGGTTTTTGGCCAATTTCTCCGCTTTAATAACATTCGAAAATTCTGAAAAAAATCAGAGACATTTCTATTTCTGAGGCACATATTACAGAATTTTTTCAGATTTTTAGATTGAAAACTGAAGCCGTGAAAAATCAAAAATGTCTAAAAATTCGGAAAAATGGCGATTTTATATAGAAGGAGTCGCGGATCTAGATTCATATTTTTTTCATAAGTGTATATTATCGATACTATTATTCTCAATTTTTTTTAGAATTTTTGGTCAGGTGCGCCATAGTTAAAAAAATTAAAAACTGAGTTTTTCGCTGTTTTTTGCGTGTCAGTTACTTGTACTGCGAATTTTCGTCTGTTCTTTATCAAGTAAGTGTGTTATACAATGTTCAATGTTTTTACGTACAGTGAAACGCAATAAGAATTTAGAAAACTTAATAAACCAGAATTATTGAAAGTACTTTATGTGCGATATATATCAAAAAATCGAAAGGATTTCCAACGGTGTTGCTGGTCCAGCGGTTAAGGGCACAGACTCCTTGTGCCATGACCTGTATGCGTGCACTCACACAATCAACGGAAAGCATGCACGTATACGCCATGCGTGAGAGAGACACTCGATTTCGTAGATTTCGTTTTTCGTCTCGATAATTGCACAAATGAAATTTTCGCGGGTATAGCACCCACGGGTAGACTTCACCACAGGGTGGTCTGGTCCGTTTGAACGCTAATAAACACCATACGTTGAGAAAAATGATATTTTCGACACTGTAAGATTGAGACAGACGCTGTTGTAAGCAAACAACATGGCTGCCGAATGCTGCGTTCGGCTGCATTTTAGCAAATATTGAACGATTTAATGGTTTTTCCACTCATAGCATACCAGACCACCCTTCCTTGAACTAGCACAATGTCACTGAAATTCGATTTTTCACAATTTATCACTTCTGGAAGACGTAAAACGAAATTTACTATTTGCACGCATCAGACGTCAAATAGACGGAAGAATAGTTCACTGATTTTCCGTCAGAGGCATTGATGGTATATTTGACCACGTTATCATCAGGGTCGATAAAAACACAGATCAGTCGATAAATGTAAATTCTAATTTGACACCACAAATGGCTACGCGAATATAGCCATAAGTATGGCATAGTTGCCGCTACGTATTAAGACTTCTGTCACGCTGTTGCCACATCTGTTACAATTGCAACAGGCTCGAGTCGATTTTGATTCCTGCCAGACATAGAAAAGAATAGGGCGCTCGAGAGAGAAAGAGGTTCGAGAATGAAACAATACATGTACTAATGTGTGCAACCATCAAACTTTTTTATTCATATTTATAATCATGTTTCTTTCATCAATTAAATTACAGATAGAATACTTGAAATGGTATGCCAGAAAAATGAATTATAAAACTTGCACCATATACAGTGAAAACTCGATAAATGTACATCATTATTGCCGGTCCACTCCGCAACTGTTATGGAATAGGAAAATCATTTTTCAAATTTGATTGCCTAATCAGTAAACATTGATTAGAAAGAGTCAGTAGCTAAAGACGAAAGAGGGACTAAAACCGGGATTTATTGCCTTCATTTAAATGCCCCGTGTCAATGTGACCATACTAATGCACAGAATAAAGTTTTTTATTTTGTACTTTTTGTTAATAAAAATTTTACTATCATGTGGAGAAGATTTTTCTGATCAAAATGAAGCTAAACACAATATAAATCGGTCAACATTTAATAGCATAATATTGGGTTAAATGTTGTGCTTGTGAGTCTTTCTCTCTTTGTTTATCCTTCTTGCGCTATCCTTTTCTATGTTCGGAAACATCAAAGAACGGCGGATTCATGGTGCTGGTAGGGGTAGAATGAATGAAATAATACATATAACGTAAGTACGCGGCCATAAGACTTATAGGAATGAAAACTACCTGACATAATAATTTCAAGAAGGGAATAAGAAATAAAGAAATGAATAATGAATTTTAATATAATTCTGTCACACTTAGACTGGGACACCCTGTATATGCAGGTACAATTATATTAAAATTCATTATTATATTTCAAATGAAAAAGATTTCAATAACACGTGGCTGGAGTGGCTGTCATGGGAATCGACGATGTAGACGGCGCGGAGAAAGAAGAGGCATTGTTTATATTTATTGATTATATTTCAATCGATAAATATTGTATATTATAGATCAATTTACATGTCTTTATTTTTCATTCCTTTCCTGAAATTATTAATGCCATATAGTTTTTATTCCTATAAGTCTTATAGTCGCGTACGTTATGTGTATTACAGAGTCTCATCGAATCTGTCGTAGCGTGTGACTATATTTACGCCGATCGGCGTTGTTACATTCATGATACTCCTTCTCTCTCTCTCGCGCTGTCCTTTTCTATGTCCGCCAGGAATCAAAATCTCGCTCGGCTCGAGCAAATTCATTTTGCTAGATGGTCACAGATGCGGCAACACCGCGATAGAACTCTCAAATGATGTGATTTGGCAACTATGCCACCTCACTTTCGTTTCTTATTCTGCATAATGACGTTAGATGTCACACCGTCAAATGTCGAATTTCTCAATTATGAGCCCAGGTCAAGTCGTCGGACCCAAAACACACAGAGCAGTCTTGGGTCCGGCGACTTGACCTCCTGGGCTTTTTGCCCGCAAACACAGCAGGGTTCCATTGTGCGGGGCGGCTATTGTGTTGCGCGCCGAAAGAATCTCCCTGTATAATGCTTTCTCAGTCTGGTATATTTGTTTCGAAATAAAGCATAGTGCGAGAATGAGAGGGCATGCTATATTCTATCCTTGTTCAAAAAATAACATCGCTGCTCGGCCGATTACTTTATGATTTGCCACTACCTCGGATCTCTCACTCGTTTCTCGCGTTCTCTATCGTCCCGTTTCGAGAACAAAGTCAAGCCGAATAGCAATCTGCTTCGAAATAAGCAACTGTTCGGTCCCGAGTCACTTGCTTATTTCGAAGCATTACTGTATTACTTTAGCCTAACCTAACATAATTCACTGATTAGGTAGAGCAGATTGGGTTAGGTTAGGTTATATTAAATTTCCGGCTGCCATCATAGCTACAATACATTGAAATCATGAATACAGAAGTACACAAGGTATATATTGGTCATCGGTCGCCGTGCTGTTGCCTGCAGAAACAGTAGAAAAGCAGTGATCCCATACTAATGCGTACGTTGTCATAGACACACACGGATGGACAGAATTCAATGCGTTAGTTTCAACAGTTTTTCGAACATATCTCGAAAACTAAGGCCGAGCGGCGGTTATATGTATAGGAAAAAGTTGTTCAAAATGTTGATTTCTACAACATATTTAAAAATCATCGAAATCGGAGGTGCCGTCCGTAATCTAAATAATTACCGTAGGTTTTCTACAAGTTCACCCAATATTAATATTATTCCTTTAATATTAATATTTCTTTTTATTGCAATTACTGTAGATAGAAACGTTGTTTATGAAATTATCAAAATTAGAATTGTGTAAAAAATAAAATTTTACTTTTCTATTCTATTATCTTCTATTAAACTACTATGAATTGAAATATTGTTCATGAAATTGTATAAAGAACAAAATTTATACTACTTATAAATTTTAATGTAATTATAAATATCATTAAGCATAATATAATTTGATGTATATTTTCTTTTTCAGATTGCCTGAATTAGGTTTATCTGCAACACCAGAAAGATCTGTTTCTAAGAATGAATCTACTAAAAATAGTACAAGTTTAACTGATAAGGATATTTCTAAACAACCTGCGAGAAAAAAACGTAAAATCTAAGATATAACATAAGTGTACACTGAGTTACATCGAATCTATCGCGGCGTGTGACTCTAACACATATTCACGCTGGAGAGCCGATTGGCGAGGGGCACGCGAAAGAGGGACTGCAGCCAATTGACTGACAGCGTGAATATGTGTTAAAGTCACACGTCTCGACAGAATTAACTCAGTGTACATGTATGTATACATATATGTATACATATATGTATATTAATATTCGAATATGAATTTTTTTATCAGCTGGTTCAAGGTTCTGCAATGTTCAGCAAGTCCCTCCTCAATATTTTTACTGTGTAATGATAATTATTTTTACAAAAAAACCTTAATGTATATAAAAATTGTGAATAATTTAATATTAAAATATTAAACAATATAAAACAGTTATTATTGTAAGAATAATATATCAGGATCCAAATGTTTCTTTCTTTTTTTTCAGTTGAAGTGTGTGTTAAACATCTTTTTTTGAACTAAATTATTATCTTTTTTTTTTCCTTTTTTTATATAGGTGTTTAACGTCGCATCAACTGCAAGGTTATTAGCGACGCCTTAGAAGGTGGTTTCGTGTGTGTGTTGTTTTACAGTATTTTGTCGAGTAGTTCAGTTTCTTTTAAGAACTTTAGTAGATCGTGGCTTATTTTGTCTTCCAAGTTGTCCTTGATAAGAGATTTCAATGTGTATTTCCGACGAATTGTATCATATTTAGGGCAATTCAGAATGAGATGGTCTATTGTAAGTTGTGCATGGCATTCTTCGCATCTTGGGACTGGATCTTTGGTCAGGAGATATGAATGGGTGGTTTTGGTGTGTCCTATTCGGATGCGACTGATTGCTACTTGCTCTCTTCTGGGTTGTTCGGTGTGTGTTGTATGAGTTTTGAAGAATTCCTTGTTTATATTTAAGGAACGGGTAGATGCTGTTGTTTTCCATTCAGTTTCCCATTGTGATCTTAGTTTCTTTTTGGTCATTTTTAGGGCTTCGTCAAGGCATAGTTTGTTATATACGGTTTGTGAGGCGTCAACTGCTTCTCTAGCGGCTTGGTCTACTTTTTCGTTTCCGGTTATTCCCACGTGGCTAGAGATCCATATGATTTGTATTTTGTTTGCATTGGAGATGATCTTTTGGTGTGTTTCGATGATTTGTTGGATGGTGTCGTTGTACGATGAGGTGTTGTTTATCGCTGCTATTGCACTCGTGGAGTCAGTAAATATGGCTGTTTTTTGGTAGGATTCCGTGTAGGCGGTTTGCAGGGCTTGTTTGATGGCCATTAGTTCAGCTGAGAATATTGATGCTTCATTTGGTAGTTTGGTTTTCATGGAGTAATTTGGGGTGATGATTGCGTATCTTGTTCCGGTACTTGATTTTGAGCCGTCTGTGTAGATATGTGTGGAGTCTTTATGTTTTTCAATAATTTCTGCGGCTAGTTGTCGGTAAGTTTCTGGGCTGGTATTTGTTTTTAAGTATAATGTCAGGCTTGTGTCAGTTTCGATTGGTTTAATTTTCCAAGGTGGGGTCGTTGGTGGTTTTCTTGGGGTGATATTTTTAAATTTTAGATTCAGTTCTGTTGCGGTTTGGGTTACTCTGACGTGGAAGGGATTCATTGTGTTCCTTTGTGGTGTGTGTCTGTTAGTGTTGTAGTTCGCAAGGATGATTGGGTATGTAAGCTTGTTCGGGGTTGTTGCGATTTTTATTGCCTGGTTCATGCTGAGGAGTTTCCTTCTGTGTCGGAGCGATGGTTCGTTTGCTTCTTGGAGAATACTAGAAGTGGGGCTGGTCCTAAAGGCTCCTGTTGTAATTCTTAGTGCTGTGTTGTGCACTGGGTGTAGCTTCTTTAAAATGGTTTTATTAGCTGATCCGTAGATTATTGAGCCATAATCTATTTTGGCTCTAATGATGGATCTGTACGTGTTTATTAATATTTTAAGATCTGCACCCCAATTATTTGCTGCTATTATTTTTAAAAGATTTAGGCGTTGTGTGCATTCGTTCCTGAGGTGTGTAACATGGTGATACCATGTAAGTTTGCTATCCCATATCATGCCTAGGATTTTGATGTGGTTCAGTTGTTCAAGTTCGGTGTTCTTGAGATAGAGTTTCATTTTTAGTGGTTCTTGTTTTCTGGAGAAATTTATATATTTAGTTTTTGATTCGGAAAATTTGAAGCCTGATTCAGTTGCCCAATTTTGTAATTTGTTGAGAACATTCTGTAGGATATATTGGATTATTTTTGGGTTCTTTCCTGAGTATAGGATTGTTAGATCGTCGGCGAACAGATAGACTTTGATTGGGTTTTTGACTACCGATAAAACTCCGTTTATTGATATTAGAAATAGTGTAACACTTAGTACAGAGCCTTGTGGGACTCCGTTTTCGGTGGTTAAGGTTTTGGAAAGGGTGTTGTTTCTCACTCTTATACGTCTTGTTTTTAGGAAGTTGTCGATGAATTTTAGTATATTACCGTGGATGTTTAGGTCTTTTAAGATGTTTATAACTCTCTTTCTGCATATCATATCGTATGCTTTTTCGAAATCCATAGCCACTAGTGTCGTGTGTTGTTTGTTCCTGAATCCATTATTGATGTCCGTTTCTATATTTATTAGTGGGTCCAAGGTAGAGTAGAGTGGTCTGAAGCCGTTTTGGTGGGGTGAAATTATATCGTTTGTTTCAAGTGCCCATCTGAGTCTATAATTGATCATTTTTTCCATTATTTTGCATAATATGTTTGTCAGTGCTATGGGTCGGTAGCTATAGCATCTCTCCACACGTCGGGGGATGTACCGTGTTTCCATATTGAGTTAAATATTTTGAGTAAGCATTTAATGCCGTTAGTGGGCATTTTTGTTATGAGTGCAATTGGGATGTTGTCGGGTCCAGGGCTGGTATTTTTATATTTTTTGAGTATGTTGGTTAGTTCATGTATTCTGAATTCTCATTGATTGCGGAGCAGTCGTTTGTGTTGATTTGAGTGGGTTGTTCGGGAGTTTTTGTAGGGTTGGTTTTGGAAGAGAGGAAGGCTTTGTCATAATTCGAGTCACTCGAGTTTGCGGCGAATGTTTCTACTAATAGGTTTGCGATTTGTGTTTGGTCTGTGGTGATTGTTTTGTCAGGTTTTGACAGGCCTGGTATGTTATGTTTATGGTGGGTACCTTGGATTGCTTTTAGCTTGCTCCAAACAACTTTCGTGGGAGTGGATCCGTTTAACGTGGTAAGGAAGCTTTGCCAGGATTTCTTCTTGTTTTGTTTTAGTATTTTCCTTGTTGTTGCTCGTAGTTTTTTAAATTTGATCAAGTTTTCAGTCGTTTGGTGTTTTTTGTATTGGTTGAAGGCGGGGTTTGATTCTTTAACAGCTGTTTCACACTCTCTGTTCCACCACGGTACCAAGTTGTGGTTACTACTAATTTTGGGAACTGTCTTTGGGATGGTGTCACTTGCTGTTTGATCGATCATGGAGATGAATTTGTCCATTATATTGTCTATTTGGAGTGGGTTTAGGTTGATATAGGAGTCTAATTGAGAGGTACGCTGTTCGATTAGTAGACGGTATTTTTCCCAGTCCGCATTTTCCAGTTTCCATCTTGGGACAGGTTCGCTGTTTTTGGTTTTGTGATTGGTGTGGATTTTTATTAGGACTGGGAAATGGTCGCTGTTATAAAGTTCAGATATCGTTGAACATTCACACTTGTATGCTATGTTTGAATTGCACATGGTCAAATCGAGGGTGCTGAATGTCCCGTTTGCCACACTGAAGTGGGTTGGTTTTGAGTCGTTGAGGAGTACTGTCTCATGGTTTAGTATTATTTCTTCTAAAATTCTTCCTCTAGCGTTGGTTTTCTCTGATCCCCATAGGGTGCTGTGGCAGTTGAAATCCCCTGTTATTATGAATCGTTTTTGTAGGGTTCCAAAAAGCTTGTTTAGTTCGGTTGCGTTTAGTTGGTAGGTGGGTGGGATGTATATGTTGTAAATGTGGATGTTTGGCTGTGAGTTGATCTTGGCTGCTATTATTTCCATGTTGGATGTGGTAGGAATTTGTTCGTTGTCTAAGGAGTTTCCAATCAGTATCGCTACTCCTCCGCTTGCATGTTGGGAGTTTCGGTTGGTGACATATGCATCGTAGTTTTTGAGTTTTATCGTCTGTTGAGGTTTGAGGTTTGTTTCTTGGAGAATTACTACGTCAGGTTGGTATTGGTCTAATAGTATTTGTAGTTGGGGTAATCGGGTGAAAACGCCGTTTAGGTTCCATTGGAGAATTGTGTACGTCATCGCTAGGTTGTTGGTATTATCCTATAGATGAATTTGTCGGTCGAGGGGTTCTTTTCTTTCTTCGTTATCTGTTTCATAGTCGGTTGTGTTAGGGGTGCTGTTGAGCGATATGTTGTCGGCTAGTATTTTTGATTGGAATGGTATATTGTTGTTTAGTTTTTTAATTATCCTGTGGACTCTGTTTTTAATGATCTTTCCATTTAGGTGGGGGTGGATTGTGATTAGCATTAGCTATGTCCTGGGTGTAGTTTTGCGCTATTTTTATGGGATCTTCAACTCCAATTGCATTTTCTAGAAAGCTCATTAATTGTAACCAATTTAATGGGAATTTTGCTAGTGGGTCGTTTACCATATTTTTTGCTGAGTCGATCATTATTTCAATGTTGTCGACTACATCTGGTGTTAATTTTCGACGTTTACCTGTCTTTGTTTTTTCACGTGTACTTACTGGTTTGTGGGTGTTGCTGGAGATCTTTGTGTACGTTGCTGGGGCGTTAGGGGGGTTGAAGTTTTCTTCGAGATCATTGGAGTTTTGTGTGGATGTGGTTGTGGAGTGCGTCCTTTTGTTACCTGTATTTGTATCGTTGGTTTGTTGTGACTATTGGTTTGTTTGTATTGTGGTTCTGTGAAGGGTGTGAGGTCCATGTTGGATTCCGCTGGTATGCTGGGGTGCTTCAATTCGTCTGGTTCCGGATTTGTATTAATATTTGAATTTGCAGTGGCTGTAGCGGGGGGCTTGTTGTTCATAGTGCACTGTTTTGCTATGTGGCCTTCTTTTTTGCATATGAAGCATCCCATATTTTCAGTTGAAGTAAATATGCGGTATTGGGTAGCATCGTAGTTTACTAGAAAGGATTCTGGAATTCTTGATACGTCTTCTGGGCTGACGTAAATTTGTCTCCTAAAACTCATAACGTGGTTAAACTCTGGTTCTTGGATCGCAGCTCTTAAGAAGGTTAATTTAGAGTTCATTTTGATGTTGTTTTCGGTGAAGATTTTTTCGATGTATTCGTTTAGTATTACAATACTGGTGTTCTTAACGGTTATTGTGGTATGTTTCGATAACAGCTGGTGAGCAGTTTGTTTACTGTCAAGGTATACACATATTCGGTCGTTGGCAATTCGGGATATGAATCGGATGGCTTGTTTCCCGATTATTTTTCCTATAGTAGTGGCGTAGTCAGTTATGGACGCTTCTGCGATGCTGTAATAGGATTCGTTGTTCATGAGTAATCAATAATTCGATACAATTATTCTTTTCTTTTTTTTATTCATTATCCGATGCAACTTCTATTCAACGAATCCCATCATACCGACGTAGTGCCGAGGCACTTGATCACGACCGCGCGGAACATACCCAACACTCTCGTGGTTCGGCCCGCGCTAATGGCGCGCTCTGATTGGCCAGTGTTCTTCGTTAATAACTCGAAAACGAAGCCTTAACCAACATTTTGGCAAAGGAAAAAGTTGTTTAGAATGACCTCACCAATCATCCCTCTTCCGTTCCTACCCCAGTTCTGGGACACCCTGTATAAGTGTACGCACAGGTGATGTTTGAATTTCGCTCATAATTTATGACCATCGATACAAAAGGTCCTCGAAGAACATTCAAGACATATCGATACAATAGACTATCGATAAATATTCTCATGGCAGTGTCGCCACACCACTCTAAACATATTCACGTGATAACGTTTCACGTTACACTGTGTTGCGTGTGGATTTAATGTTCTAGGGATTTTCTTTATAATATGCCGAACGTGGGTAAGGTGCCCTTGAAGCGCTGAAGCGCTCTGCTCGCGGCGCGGCGTTTAATAAATGAAAACACTTTGCGTTTAAAAGATATTTTTTGATAAATACTTTATTATTTCCTTTTCAAAATCTAGACGGGTTGAAGCTTTGAATCGTTCTGAGCTTGGCGGTGAAGATCTTCGATCGATGTTGACTGCCATCCCCTCCTCGCTGGATCCTGAATCCTCCCTCAGGATCATCCCTGGCCCAATGGTGGAGGAGCCCATCCTTGTCCGGAGGCGGTCCCTCTCCCTGGCTTCGGTCCACCCTCAGGCGAGTGGAAAATGGTGGTGCTCCGCCAAGACTCGAGAATGATTCCATGCACATGTGCTAAGAGAAAGCGTGGGATCCAGAGAGAACGAAAGATAAAAAGGTCTCGCGCTAGCGAGCCAAGGCAACCCTTAAGAAAATTTACGACCCTCTGTAAATAAGCAGGATGTCGAAGAGACTTCGACAGTTTCAAGAATCAACATGATTTTCGTTAAGAATAACGAATTAGATACAGCCCGCAATAGATTAGTTTCTTAGAAACTTCAAGTGTGACAGTCTTATTTCTCCGGATTTCCAACTCTCTCCCAGCACGACCACCCGCGCTGAACGATTTACAATGTCCTATCTTTTGTTTGTTTATTACTTTGAATTTTGGCTCCTAATTTATGAGCATTGATATAACATAATGCAGACATGCTGCAACCATACTCTTATGGCATCGTCGCCATATTGCATTCCATTCAATGCTTGTGATTACAAGCTTGCAGCTAAATTCACACAATATTGCACACATACATACAGGCGAGGTTCGCAACAACTGCAATTCACGAGAGACCACACTTAACTCACGCAGCTCACTAGGTCTAGGGACATTTTTCATAACGTGTGTCATTACTCTCTTCAGCTTGCTTTTTACTTTGCGATCATTTAAATGGTGGACAGAAATATATGACGTACGATAACTGATACCCGATGACGATATGGAAAAGATACACGATACAACGAAATTTCTATTATTTTTCAAAGAAAAAATTATATCACACACGTTATTAAAAATGTCCCCAGACCTACTGAGCTGCGCGAGTTAAGTATGGTCTCTCGTGAACTGCAGTATAGTTAATCCGCAATGGGTATGTTGATTCCCGTTGAATGTTGTTTACTTGAAATTATCAAATGGGTCATTTGTCATATGTTACCGACGCCTGAACTAGGATCTTCCTAGTAGAAGAAAAGTTTATAATTTTGCGCTGCCCCCGAAAACTTTGAAATGTATTTGGTATCCTATTTAACGATTAAGTAGATATTATTAATAGCTATGGAATATTGGTATAAATGAAATAGAAATTATTTGACGCTTTTTAGTGCATTTCGTAGTCGGATTTGTTTTTTGTTAAAAATTATTTTATTTTACACTTTTTAGTGGAACCTGTAGTATTTTTAGGATAGTGTAAGGTGATTTTGGGTTTCTGTTACTTAGCTAATAACCATAAACCTAAAAAATACTGACCAAATTTAAATGGTTAATAAACAACAAATTCCATAAATTTTTGCAAGTGGGATCATCGCGGATATACAGAGTGTCACGCGACTACCTCTCCAGTCGAAGAGGGATGATTGCTAAAGTGATTCTAAACAACTTTTTCCTTTTCCAAAA